TGCATAATTTTTGATCAATGCCAGATCCTACTGATGATAGATACCTGCCTTAAACAAATAAAGGAAACTATCTTCTAAGGTTTATATCAAAAGACTTAAAACTATTTCTCCTCCCTTATGCTACATCTCTTGTCCTTACACATAAGGAGTACCCCAAAGAAGTCCTAAAAAGCTTCATGTCAGAAACCAGAAAGGAAAAATAGCTTCATTACATGCCAGTCAAGCAAGGCTGAGGAACAACAACCATAACAAAAGGTAATTGGGAGCTAGAGTAAAAGGTAGTGCTAGGGACATGTTTCACTTGATTATGACATGACAATTAGAAATATGAAACAACACAGCACTGCTTTACTTGAGCTTTGAGTCAGTCTATACAGTATCAGTATTTTTGGCAGTTAGGATTTAAATAGCCATTTGCTGTGGGAAAGAAAGGTTGTCCTATGCATTGTAGGATATTTTGTAACATCTCTATATTTTGAACACCAAAGCATGCTTGTGGGGAATGACTCTTCAAGTCACAGTGTTTGTAATTCCCAGATGACTGGGTTGTTATGGGTGTATGTCATGACTGGCACAGACTCACAGTGACCCCATGGTACAACAGAATAAATAACACCCAATTCTATGATGAGCTATCCTCCTATGCTTGAACCCATTTTAGAAGCCAGTATGTCAATCCACTCCACCTCACTTTGGGCCTTTTTTGTTCTGACCCTCCCCTTTAATCAGCATGACTGATTTTCTCTAGGGACTGGCATCTCTTAACACCAGGCCCAAAGAATTTTGAGATACAGTTTCACCATCTTGATTTGCTGGCATCTTGGGTGCCTATGGTATCTGTCAGGGAACTAGGTTTGCCAACCCATGAAGCTAGGGTTAAATGCCTTTGGGCTTTGGCATGCTTAATGAAGTGGAGTATTTTGGAGGCACTTAAATCAGTACAGTTAAAAAGAGCTTTGTAACACTTGCCCAAGCACAGGAGACTAAAGACCAGAGAGAAGACTGCCTTCAGAGAACAGGCTATCCTAACTAAAGAACTGCCTCCTGAGTTGTTCCTGAATCAGAACTAGGACCTGTTCTATTTCTCCATTGTCGTGGTATGCAATCGAGTCAAAATCAACTCTCACAGCTGAGCCCCCAGGAGGTTTTCAGAGGCAGTAAATTGCAGAGATTGTTCATCTTTCTCCCGCAGAGCAGCTCGTGGATTCAAAACAACATGTCTTTGGGTTGGCAACACAGCACCTTACCACTAAGCCACCAGAGGTGCTACAGTTTCCTAGTAAAGCCAAATAATTTTGAGTACAGTTTGTGACTTCTATGTGGCCACTGAAACAAATGAATCAAACCTGTCAAAGTGCTATGGGAGACATGGCAAGTGCCAGAACTCATTACCAAAAAGGTTTAGAGGGTTGGGGGCAATTTTGACTTATAGGAATCTGGCTATGAGAAAAAGTCTTGGGCTGATAGTAATGAGAATTCGCCTTTCCGGTCATGAAGTTAGAGGTGATGTTCAAATAATGACTTGTTTGTTGTTTTGATGCGTACCACTAAGTGGCAACCGACCCATAACTGACCCTCTAGTGGGTTTTCAAGGGCAGGTTTTAAATTGCAGGGGAAGAGATTGCCCATCCTTATCTCGTGGAGCAGCTGGGTAGATTCAAACTTTTTACTTTGTATATGCTCCAAATTAGCATCAAATAGTCACAAAAATAAATCCAGATTTCAAATGCTTGACCTTCATGCAATCAGTTAAAAATAAATCGTTATTACAAAATATTTAAATGTTATATATAATTTTAAGACTTATTTTATGCCCATTCTTTCTGTAGAGGTGGTTTTAAATATAAACTGCTTTTTTGGTCTATTTTTAGGACAAGAGCACAGGATGTCAAAACAAGATTTTTGCCAAATCTACGTTTATAAATTAAACCTTGGCTGCAGTGCAGTGCAAATAGCTTGAAATAGCAATAATGTCTGAGTCAAGTTAAACATCAATGAATGCACAATATGACTTGGGTTTGAAAATTCCACTGTGGTGAATTAGGTCTTGAAGATAAGGAAAGTAGCAGGCACTGGCCATCAAGAGTTGTCAGTGACCAGGTGAGGGCACTATTGGAAGCTAATCCTCTCAACTAGATGAGAGGCTTTTTTCTATTTCTTTACTTCTGGTGATTGACCCATCTCGGAGAGTCTCTCTCTCTCTTCGAGATGTGTCATTTCTAATAAAATATCTTTGCTTTTACTTTCATCTTTAAAAAGCATACTACATCAGAAATTGCTCAGCATACAGACTGAATAGGTATAGAGAGAAAAAAATACAATCCTCCCCTTTTAAACCATGTAGTGTTCCCTTGCTCTGTTTGCACAAAAGCCTCGTGGTCTAGGTATAGGTTTCACATGAGTACAATTAAGTGCTCTGGGATTCCCATTTTTCTCAGCATCAGCCTAACTTGCTATGATCCAAACAGTTAAATGTCTTTAGCTTTAGGCATCAGGATTGGAGAGAGACTCATCAAAAACCTGTGTTATGCAGATGACAACTTTTTTGCTAAAAGTGAGGACTTGAACTTGTTGCAGAAGGTCAAAGAATACAGCCTTCAATATGGATTTCATCTCAACATCAAGAAAACAAAGATTATTACCATGGGACCAATAGGCAACATCATGATAAACGGAGAAAAGATTGAAACTGTCAATAAGTTCATCTTACTTGGATCCACAATTAACACCCTTAGTACCAGTAGTCAAAATTAAGGAGGCGTACTACACTGAGAATGGTGGAGAGACAGTGCAAGACAGGAAGACCCTGGATGAGATGGACTGACTCAGTGACTGGGGTAATAGGGGTAGGTGTGTCACAGACAATGAGGCTGACATAGGATAGATCAGGGTTCAGAGCTGTTGGACATAGGGTCTCTGAGTCACAAGAGACTCAATGGCACATTAACAATAACAACTGCACTGGGAAAGTCTGCAGTTAGGGGCCTCTGCAAACTACTGAGGGGTTCTGATGTTAGGTTGAGCACTAAGGTGCATGTGATTCAAGCCACGGTCTTTCTGATCACTTACTATGCATCTGAGAGTTGGACAATGAATAGAGATGACAGTAGAATTAATGTCTTTGAGCTATGGTGTTGGTGAAGAGCACAGACCATCCCATGGACTGTCAAAAGAATAAACAAATATGTCTTGGAGAGGGTGCAGCTAGAGCGCTCTTTGGAGGCAAAGTTGATGAGGCTTCACCTTGCACACTTTGGGCATGTTGCTAAGATGGGCTATTCCATGGAGAGAGACACGATGCTTGGAAAGATAGAGGGTTGGTGAAGGAGAGGAAGACCCTTGGTAAGGTGGATTGTCACAGTAACTGCTGCAATGGGCTCTAATGAGTCAGAAGAGTAAGAATGGCACAGAATCTATTCAGGGTTCAGATATGTTGTTCATAGGGTTGTTATGGTCATACTCAACTTGATAGCACCTAGCAACAACAACATGAGAAGTTGCATTCTATGGTCAATGGTCACTTGGCACAATCTGGAAAGGTGAAAAGGTGCAACAAATGCATTCTACACAAACTGAACAAAGATCAAAGCAATCGTTGCTTTGAAGTCTGATACATGCTTCTTTTGTGCAATAAAAACAGATCCATTTCTCAATCACATTGTAGCATGTTATGAAAGATGGATTGCTTTGACTATTGACAATGTTCAGCACTGTGGTTGGACTGAAGAGCCCAAAACTGAGCTTATAACACAAGAAGGGTATGGTGACTGTAATGGAATTAACCCACTACCACTTCTTGAATTGAGAGGAAACTATTACAGCATAGAAGTACTGCAATAAAATCTACAATTGCATCAAAATTGACAACTTTCACACTAGTCATTGGAAATAGAAGTCCAACCCTTTTGCACATCAGTGTTCAACCATATGGTGCACAACCAATGCTCCAAAAGGTCAGTTAATTGAAGACAAAATTCTGCCTTATCCAGCATATTCACCAGACCCCTGCCAACTTATTACCACTCTTCAATGACTAAGGTACCACCAAAATACCTTCAGAGAATTCATCAAATTCAACACAAGAATTGTATGTTACTAGAATAAACAAACTTGTATTTTGTTGGCAGAGTGTACAGATTTTTTTAAATTTTATTTTTATTTTATTAATTTTTGTGCATGTACTGTCAAATCAGATCTGACTGGTACAGGAGGAGATTGCCCGTCCTTCTCCAGCAGAGCATCTGGTGGATTCAAACGGTGCGCCTCTGGGATTGCAGTGCAGCTTCTTGCCACTAGGCCACCAGTGTACAGATATTAATGGCTCTTATTTTGATTTATAACATTAAGTTTACGCATAGTTACAGAAATTTCAGTTTAGGTTTAAAAACCTGCATTATTTTCACAACAACGTAGTAAAATAAATAAGAATTATCTTATGGTCCAAGTGCTTTGAGGATTGTAGGTGGAATTAGGAAATGATAGGATTAAAAAAAAAGATTTCTTGGATCAACCTCATAAAACCAATGTGTTCGGAAAAGCATTGTGATAAAACATAAGCAAATAAAAAGAGAGTGAGTTGAAATATTTGGAATGTACTTCCCTAAGACCAGAACAATGGCAACCTAATTAAAGGGACTTTAAGGAAAAATAACAAAATGGTAAAGAGATGTGCTGCCAACCCTAAGGCATGTGGTTCAAATCCACTAGCTGCTCTGTGGAGAAAATGGGAAATGTCCTCCTATGTGATTTACTGCCTCTGAAAACCTACTAGAGGGTCAGCTATGGGTTGGACCTAACTCAAAGGTGTATTACAACAATGACAGCTTCAATATCATTGATCTACTTATTTCCCTGCAGGCCTATGATGCTCAGTGGACCAGGGAGGAAAGTGTCTGCCCTTGCGTATTGATAACTATGCAGCCTGTATTTAGGAAAAAGGTGTAGCTACACTTCCAGAGTTTCTGGGTTCTGGGCAGAAAACAAAGAAAGGTACTGCATACCTGAGAGTCCCGTTCTCTCCTTTGTCCAGGCTGGTGAATCGGCTGTAGAGGCGGGTGATCTGACTGTGTGAAACTAAAGAAGACAGAATCAGTCTCAGTTAAAGAAAGTGCCCTCTCTCCTCACAGAGCCCCAGTGTGGCCTTTCAGATGGCAGATGCCCTTTAGGTCCCAGCTCAACATTAAATCCTTCAAAGAGAGTAAAATGTGGGAATGTCCACTTTAGGTCACATATAAAGAAACAAAGCAGACTATGCAGAGCATTAAAGGATGAAGAGTTATAAAATAAACTGAAGACCAATCAAAATAGAATACTTAGGCTTAATTAAACTGTCTTAAATGTCATGTTGTTAAGATTTAACAAAACAAAGCCAAATTCAAATTTCAATGCTCTCAGAGTCAACAAAAATGATGTTTTGATTCAAACCACACTTATTACAGTCTGATGTTTCTGGCTAGTTATTCTTGGTAGGTAACTTGTGCTAAATTTAAGATTGGGACTTATCAAATAGCTGCTTATAATCTGGTTTATCCTGCATTACTACTGCTTAGTGGCTTTATCTTTTCCATCAGGGATGGCCTTTGGGTAAAAGATCACCACAGCCTTCAGTCAGCCTATTTTTTTGTGATTGCATGAGTTCTACTTAGTTCCAGTAAAGGAATTGGTTCCAAGGAAGCAAATTGGGCAATTTGTAAAATGGCCATGTTATTAGCAGATCACATCTACAAGAAAGCGTTTTGCTAATTTTGGTTGAACTCCATAATCTTAGGCATAAATTTCTAATTAAAGTAAGGTAATAAATAAGTAACTGTAGGTACACAATGAAATTTTGAAAACAGGGGTGGGTGTGGGTGGGAAATGGATTTCTATTAAATAGTCTTGTCTCCAGGAATCTGGCTAGACCAGGTAGTGTGAAGATGGGATAGTTTTCAGAATAGAAAAGAGAACGGCCAAAAAGGGTGTAGCAAGGGTGGACTTTGTAGATATCCTCAGGGCTTAAAAGGGTACCTGAGGTAGTTCTTGCTCCAGCTCCAGAGATAAAAATCCAATAGCAGTTTTAGGAACAAAAGAACAAGGTAAACAGGAGCAAAAGTGGAAGAGCAGAGGGTAAAGAATACTAGGTGTGGCCACAAATTCTTCAGATTTAGGTTTCACCCCTAATCTGGGTTGGGTCTCTTTTGTGGTGGTTCTCTAAGGAGATCAGAGGTGGCAGAATCACTATTTTTCACACTGAGGGCAGGGCCAGCAAGGTCCCAGCCACGAAGGAGCTGTGCACACAATAGCCAGCCAGGCAAGGAAAAAAAAAAAGAGATCAATGTAAAAAGGACTCTTATCATGGTCAGGGAGAGGCTGAGTCCATCTGCAATACCACTGATTATCAGACAAGAGGAATGAGAGGAATGAATGGGGTGCGTTCAGAGCAGATAAAATTAATGTCACATGTAGAAATTGTTGAATTGGTATATGTTTTGCTGTGCATATTCTCAACAACAAAATAAAATTTAAAAAATAAGAGTGAGAAAAGGAAGTAAAGTGTTTCACTCATTGAAAGCATCCCTGGTTAGCTATTATTATCATCAACCTTACATAATAGGCCTGCAGGTACAGTTTTACTGCTGCATAATTAAATCTTAACTTTTCCCTGGATTTTACCAGTGAAATTAGGAATCTGACTAGTTTATCCTGGCTCCAGGCTCTGGCCTCAAAGGCTAGTCTAGTGTTCCCTTTAGTTTAGTAAAAAATCAGTCAGTTACAGAATTACCAAGTGTCCCTAAAGACTCTTTGAGGAGAGGAAAAAAAGTATTCACAATTTCAACACGTATTTTTCATTGACTTCAGTATCAATCATTTGTACACTTTGTTGTGGTTATGTGTTGTTGACTCTTATAGTGACCCAAATGTACAACAGCTCTGAACCCTGCTCTATCCTGAGTCAATTTCAATGTCTCCGACACACCTACTCCCACTAACCTAGTCACTGTTCCCTTAACAGACCCTGGTATATCCAATAACCTTCTCCTGCACCACACTCAAAGGCACTGATGGTGGTGGTTCTTTTTTTTCTTTTGGTTTTTTGTATACCATTGAATTAGATTCAACTGGCTCAGGAGGAACCCTTCCTGCTCCAGCAGAGCATCAAAGAGTGCACCTTTGGGATTGCAGTGCAGCTTCTTGCCATTAGGCCACCAAAGCTACTTGTATAGGTTCTTATACACTTTACATAGTCATAAATTCACTTTTCACTTGTTAATTCTTAGCTTTTTCTATTGCTTTGGTGTCTTCCTAATTCTTTTCAGAGATTGCATAGTATTTACTCCACTGGGTCATTATATAGTTCAACTTTTCTTTAAAGAAATATTAGGAATGTCCGCTCTGTCCTGTGCCAATCGCACTGTCTCTGACACTCCCATCCCAATTATCCCAGTCACTGAATCAATCCACCTCATAGAGGGCCTTCCTCTCCTGCGCTGTCCCTCCACCCTCCCAAGCATGATGTCCCTCTCTAAGGACCGGTCTCTCCTCACAACATGTCCAAAAAGTATGTTAGACGGAGCCTCAGAATCCTTGCCTCCAAGGAGCCACCCGGTTTAACCCTTTCCAGGACAAATCTGTTTGTTTTCCTAGCAATCCATGGTATTCTCAATACTCTTCTCCAGCACCACAGCTCAAAGGCATCAATTCTCCTTCTATCCTCCTTGGTCATTGTCCAACTCTCTGATGCATAACAAGTGACTGCAAAAACCATGGCCTGTATCAGATGCACCTTAGTCTCCAAAGAGATACCATTGCTCTTCAGCACTTTGGAGAGGTCCCTAACAGCAGATTTTCCCATGGCAATGGGCCTTTTAATTTCCTGGCTGCTGGTGCCAAGACTGTTGACTATGGGAGATAGCAAATCATAGCAACCCTACAAGAGATCTGCAACTTGTCCTCTTCTGTGTTATCCTCACAATCTGACACCCTCAAGCCCACTGCTATTGTCACTCTCAATCCTTCTAGTTGACAGTCTTCCTCTCCTTTGCCAGTCTTTTAACTTTCCAACCATGATATCCTTCTCTAAGGAAGTCTCTCCTAGGAACATGCTCGAAGTAAATGAGACAAAGCTACTCCATCTTTGCCTCCAAAGAGCACTCTGGTTGTACCTTCTTCAAGACTTATCTGTTCTCTTGGGATATTCAATAATCCATGGGATATTCAGTAGTTTTCTCCAACACAGCTCAAAAACATCAATTCTTTTTCTGTCATCCTTATTCACTGTCCAGCTCTCAGCAGCATAGCAAGTGATTAAAAAGACCATGAATCAGGCACACCTTAGTCCCCGTAAGAAGAGTAAGAGCTGTGTTGGGATACTCATACATGACCTTTATCACCTTCACAAAGGGAACTGTCCCAGTCAATAACATCAACAGCATAAAACCAATTCCATGAGGTCAGACATCTTCCCTAAACTCCCACCTCTCTTTCTACCCATCCCCAACATCAAAGGTACTACTCTACTGGGTCTGAAATTCATTGCAATAGCTCACAGACCACATAGAATCATACTGGGATGTCAAAAGACTTCAGGTTAGTAGCAGAATACAATCACTCAAGACAGCTTCCAAAATCTGCTCTGTGGCACCTTAGCCTTGAGCCAGGAAGCTTAAGGCCAGTGTTAGAAAGCTCTGAATCCTGCCAATTATGGCTCCACTCACTGTGCCAGTTGTCTAACAAACTTAGGCAAATACTCCTAGTTCTTGTTCCATGAGGTGGCAGTCCCAAGGTCTGCTCGTTCTTAATTCATATCTCTGGTTTTTGCTACAGCTGCTATGGCTGCTGCTTCTGTAGGTCTAGTTGGTGCAAGAATCTCTGGCCCTGAAGGATGCACTGCATTCTTTTGCTTCTTCTTTGTTAGTAGTGAGGTTCTTAAAAACTACTACTATATCCTCTCAATTTAATGGAGAAATAAGCCAGATCCTTGTGGATTGGCAAGACTAGCCATGTGACCATGTGGCTGTCTTCCCGATGGGCTAGCATGCCCTATTCACATATTCCTGCTCATCTACTTGGCAAAGTGAGTCAATGGCAAATGAGACCATTTTGAAAAATAAACTCAGGGGAGCTCTGGTGGCCTAGTGACAAGGAGCTGCAACTACAATCCCAGAGGCACATGGTTCGAATCCACCAGATGCTCTGCCGGGGAAGGAGGGGCAATCTCCTCCTGTACCAGTCAGATCTGATTTGACAGTACATGCACACAAAAATAATCAAATAAAATTTAAAAAAAGAAAAATAAACTCATTACACCACAGCCCTCAAACTTACATCACTGCTCCTAATAATTTGGGAGCTCTGGTGGTCTAGAACTAAAAAGCTGCACTGCAATCCCTAAGGCAAGCAGTTTAAACTTACCATTTGCTCTGTGGGAGATGGACAGGCAATCTCCTCCCATGTGATTTACTGCCTCTAAAAACTTGCTAGAGGGTTAGCTCAATGATATCCTTACCACAAGGTAACTATATAATAAATGGTGTTCATTGTAACTATCCTTTAACTCTCCCTTATTAATTTTTTAAAAATTTTATTTTTATTATTTTTATGTGTGTACCATCAAATCAGATCTGACTAGTACAGGAGGAGCTAACTCTTCCTTATATAATAACCTGGCAGGTGAGACTTGCTTTATTGAATTTGATAATATAGTTCTTAATAAATTTGTCTTCTGACTACAATCTAAGTCTCTTCTCTTCCATTAATAGTTTGATGTTTATAATGTACTGGTCATTAGTTTGCACTACATTGTGTGCCTTTCTTATCATGTCTTAACAATATTAAGCAACTGCTGCTAAAGACAACTGTGCCTTTAAAACAAGGAAATTTTAGGGAGCTCTGGTGGCCTAGTGGTAAGAAGCTGCAACTACAATCCCAGAGGTGCACGGTACGAATCCACCAGATGCTCTGCAGGGGAAGGAGGGGCAATCTCCTCCTGTACCAGTCAGATCTGATTTGACGGTACATGCACACAAAAAAATAATAAAATAAAATAAAAAAAAGGAAATTTTCAAATACCCTACATGCTCTGAACCAACTGTTTT